TTCTTTCTTTCTTTCTTTCTTTCTTTCTTTCTTTCTTTCTTTCTTTCATTTCTTTATTTCTTTATTTCTTTATTTCTTTTTCTTTCTTCTTTTTTGGACTTTTTCAAAACCAGGTCTCCCTGTGTACCCCTGTCTGTCTTGGAACTAACTATATAGATGGGATTAAAGATGCACCACTATGCTCAGCTCTCCTGAACTTCTTCATATCTAGTAATATTCTTGGCTCTAAAATCTCGTTTTCTTAATATTAGACAGTATAACAGGGTAGATTTCTGCCTCTTTCTACTCTCCCATTTCTAGTAAGTAGCATAGGTTGCCATATTTATTTGGGTTCTTCATGATCTACCACTAAAGTTTACACTTGTATGAAGTGTGAAAGGGCTTTGCCATCTAAGCCATCACTCTAGCCCTGATTTTTGAACTTTAATTGTAACTTAGATCATTTACTGTGTATACTACTCTTTTTCCTTTCCTGCTTACTGTAACTCCTTGTGCTCAGTTTTATAAAGTTTTCCACGGTCAGTTTCTCATTTGGAATTTAGCATCACAACTTTAGAATACACAGTGGTTGCTTAGTCTTCTTTAGTTGTCCAACTTAGCAGAATAATCTGTTTCTTCAGCCTCATTTATTGCACATATCACATGAAATTTTCTTCTTACTTGCTTATTCACTTTGTCTACTTTGTTTTTCTTTCTTTTTTTTTAGAAACCACTTTGCTAAATTTTACTTGTTGTTGTTTTGGTTTATATGGTAATTCTTATAAAAATATTGGATACCCCAAACAGTCTTCTAATCATAATCTTTAAATATGAAAATCCTTATTATGTTTTGTCACACAATTTGTTAATTTGGTTTATTTTAGGTGGCCGGGGAAAGGACAATGCCTGGATCATTACATTTCCTGAAAATTGTAACTTCAGATTCATACCAGAGGATGTAATTGCAAAAGTGCTCAATTACTTGACATCTCTTGCAAGGCATGTAGTATTCCACTACATTCTAAAATCTTGTTTTATATCAAATATCCACTTGAAAGTTATAACAGAAAGATTGCTTATTAGTATAGTTTCTATTATTGTTATTGTAAATGGTAAGTAAATTCCCCTAAAGTAGATAAATAAAACAAAAGGGGAGGCTGACAGCTACTTAGATTATAAATATATTTAAAAATATACTGTAGTTGAGGAATGGATACAGAAAGTGTGGTACTTTTATACAGTGAAATACTACTCAGCAATTAAAAACGAGGACATCATGAAATTTGCAGGCAAATGGTGGGACCTAGAAACGATCATCCTGAGTGAGGTATCCCAAAAGCAGAAAGACACACATGGTGTATACTCACTTATATAGACCTATAACATAGGATAAATATACTGAAATCTATACACCTAAAGAAGATAAACAAGAAAGGGGACCTGGGGTAAGATCATCAATCCTCACTTAGAAAGACAAATGGGATGGACACTGGATGTAGGAGAAAACAAGTAACAGGACAGGAGCCTACCACAAAGGGCCTCTGAAAGACTCTACCTAGCAGTGTATCAAAGCAGATATTAAGACTCATAACCAATCCTTCAGCAGAGTGCAAGGAATCATCTGAAAGAAAGGGAGTTAGTAAGACCTGGAAAGGACAGGAGCTCCACAAGGACCAAATACATCAGGGCATAGGGAACTTTCATGAGACTGTTTCTCCAACCAAGGGCCATGTATGGATATAACCTAGAACCCCTGCCCGGATATCCAAGTGGGTTTTCTAGTAAGGGGAACAAGGACTATTTCTGAAATGAACTCAATGGTGAGCTCTTCAACCCCCCCACCCCCCCCGAAGGAGGAGCAGCCTTGCTAGGCCACAGAAGAGGACATTGCAGCCAGTCCTGAAGAGACCTAATAAGCTAGGGTCAGATGAAAGGGGAGGAGGTCCTCCCTTATCAGTGGACTTGGAAAGCGGCAGGGAGGAGATGAGGGAAGGAGGGTGGGATTGGGAGGGAATGAGGAGGAGGGCTACGGCTGGGATACAAAGAAAATAACCTGTGATTAATATAAAAATAATAAATAAATACTGTAAAGCGTAGACTGAGGAGAATATATATATATATATATATATATATATATATATATATATATATATATATATGAAAATCTATGTTAACAGACAGAGCACTCTACAAGTGCTGGCTCTCACAAAGTATGACAGTTATACATAAAAGGATACCTTACTAGTTTAGAGTGAAGGAAGACATTTTTCTTTTTGTTCAAGGATTACATATAAAGACTGTATCTTATATTCAGCAGCTGTGTTGGGAGCTACTAAGCAGGATAATTTGATAATAAAATCAGCCAGTATTACTGTGTGTTAAAATGAAAAACTTAGGAGTCTCCTTGGAGGGGCCGAAGAGATTTCTCCAGTAAGAATGTTTGCTACACAATCAATAGGACCATTTATCAGATTCTAGCATCTGAGTAAAAAGCTAGGCATCTCACAGACACCTGTAAACCCAACTATGAGGAGATGGAGACAGGAGAATCTTAGCTTTTTGGTTTCTAGTTTAGCAAAGAAAATTTGATCCCCATGTTTAGGGAAATAACCTCATCTCAAAAGAATAGGTGGAGAATGACAGAGGTGAACACCCAATGTCCTCTTCTTACACACACACACATGCAATACTTTAGAGAGATTATATTTATATTGAATATAACTATTAATTTATCTATTTATTTAGTAATAAAACACAGGTTCCTACTTTGTAGACCCAGCTGGCTGGCTGACCTGGACCTCCCTATGCACTTTTCCCTATGCAGACCAGACTGGCCTCACATTCAGAGATCTTCCTACTTCTGTTTCCAGAGTACTGAGGCTAAAGAGATGTGCCACCATGCCCAGCCAAGATAAATTTTTAAAGAGAGCAGTTTCCATTTATTAACCCAAAAGAATAAAGACCATAGTTTTTTTTGAAGAGCCTTATGAACAAAATCAAGCTCTAGAAGATTAAATGTATAGTGTAACTATTGAATCTTAAAAGTATTTTTAGGGCAAATCAAAGTTATATTATCTATTTATACTGCCTTCCTTCAAACTCAAAGAGAAGTCTGCAGTGAAAAACAATATATTTAATTATATAGTTTTCTTTCTTTTCTTTTTCTTTTTTAGGGTTTCTCTGTATAGCCTTTGCTATCCTAGACTCTCTTTGTAGACCAGGCTGACCTCAAACTCACAGAGAGCTGCCTCTGCCTTACCCAGCTACTATATATTTTTCAAGTAAATAAAAAGATCATTGATAAATTGCTGTGTGAATTTGATACTATGAAATACAGTGGTTGTTGAGTTTTCACATCACCAAGATTTCAGGATTCCAAGTCCGTTTTCCAAATCACCCTTATCATGCAATCATGTATTTCATTTTATGTATTTTTATTTTATTTTACATGTATATGTGTGTTTTTGTGTACGTGAATGCCAAGTCTGTGTGTGTACCTGTGGAAGCCAGAAAATGGATTTCTTGGAACTAGAGTTACAGGTGGTTGTGGAGTGGGAACCAAACTCAGAACCTCTGAAGAGAAGCAAGTACTCCTACCTACTGAGCCATCTCTCCAGGTTCTTCATTTTCTTATTTAAAAGATTGAAGTTAGTATTGATAAAGAAAGTTTAAAGAATAAATATGGGAGTGAATACAGACTTTTTTTTTTTATGTGACAGAATTTTTCTGTCCTGGAACTCGCTCTTAGACCAGGATAGCCTTAAACATAGAGATCTGCCTGCCTTCGCATTCAAACTGCTGGGATCAAAGGCATGCAACACTATGCCCAGCTCTCTTGAACTTTTTTTTCTTTATTAATTACACTTTATTCACTTTGTATCCCCCCCTGTGGTTCCCTCCCTCCTCCCGTCCCAATCCCTCCCTTCCTCCACCCTCTGCATGCATGCCCCTCCCCAAGTCCACTGATAGGGGAGGTCTTCTTTTTCTTCCTTCTGATCCTAGTCAATTAGGTCTCATCAGGAGTGGCTGCATTGTCTTTTTCTGTGGCCTGGTAATGCTGCTTCTCCCTTAAGTGTTGGTAATTAAAGAGCAGGCCAATCAGTTCATGTCAGAGGCAGTCCCTGTTCCTATTACAATGGAACTCACTTGGATACTGAACTGCCATGGGCTACATCTGTGCAGGGGTGTTAGGTTATCTCCATGCATAGTCCTTGGCTGGAGTATCAGTCTCAGGAAAGACCCCTGTGCTCAGATTTTTTTGGTTCTGTTGCTTATGGGCAACCTTTGGGCAGAGTGCAGGGAATCTTAGGGAAGAAGTGGGAAACAGTAAGATCTGGAGAGGACAGGAACTCCACAAGGAGAGCAACAGAACCAAAAAAAAAAAATCTCTTGAACTTTTTTATATCTAGTAATATTTCTCATTCTGAAATCTAGTTTTAAAAGAATTTCTAAAGATAGCAGAAGTTGTTTGTTTGTTTGTTTGTTTTGAGAAAAGGTCTCATTGTGTAGCGCTGGCTGTCCTGGAACTCACTCTGTAGTCCAGGATGGCCTCAAATTCACAGAGATCAGTCTGCCTCAGCCTCTCTGAATGCTGAGATTAAAGGTGTGCAACACCACTCCTGGCTAAGTTAGCACTTCTAAATCTAAACATGTCTTCAGTTATATATCACTGTAAAATACATAATCATAAATAAAAACACCTAACAAATAGGGTTATTACTGACAGGAATTATCATTTCTTCTTCTCTTATAGGCAAAGTGGATCTGACTCCCATTTTACTATTGTTCTGGATCGAAGACTAGATACATGGTCTTCCCTCAAAATTTCCCTCCAGAAAATCTCAGTAAGTACCATGCACTTTATAGTTGTGGCTTCTTCCTTTATCTATACTTAGCCTTTTGAAAGTATGCATTATTTTGATAATGATAGGACGGAGACAATAAAATTGATATGAGAAGGGAAAGTAGGGACAAGATGTTAAGTTCTGAAGTAAAGACCTCCCTCCAATATAAATTCTAGTGGGAAAGAATGAGCAATTGATGGTTCAAGTTATAAGTGAGCAAATACTTGTGGTTTTGTATGACTTTCAGACGAAGGCATATATTTTATGCAACCTTTTAGAAAATGGAGATAGCTATGTTGTATACCCATGGCACATAGCACAATATAAAGTATAAAGTTTCAAACAACAGATGGTACTCCAGCCACCCAGAGATAAGCCTCTCTATTAACATTTTGGTGTGAATCTTTCTATATACTGCTGCCTCCCTTTAACAGAAAATGAGTTAGATGAGGAGGTTGTAGACTTTTTTGAGCTGGAGAAATTTTCTGCGGCCCATGTTCTCTCTCAGAACCATATTGCTAGGACTTACTGTACTTTATCCTTGAGATTACAGTATAATCAACCATGATAAATTCTTTTTTTCATTTATTTTTTTTTATTTCTGTCACGTTATTTTTACAAAAATATGGAACTAAGCAATAAACAATACAGTAGGAGTTGTTTATTTTTAAGCAGTTATATAAAAATATGAGTGTTTTGTATTTATTGGTTATCATGCAAGATTTCATAGTCTATACATTGTATGATGTTTAAACCAAGAAAAGCATATGTATTTTCAAACATTTATTGTTCCTTTTTGGTGAAAAATCCATTTAAGCTTTCTGAATGGGATAGCACATTATTGTTATCTTTTGTCCTTTCACTGGAATTTCTTGCTCCTTTGGTCTTCTCTGTCTCCTGACTTACTCAGAGGCTACTCCCACCAGAGGAAGTTTATTTAGTTACAGAGGCATGACAAATATTGAGGTTGTTGAAGTTCTGAATCAGTACCTTTTTTGCTATATTATTTGTTGATAAACATTAAAAGTGTAGTAACACTTGGAGCCAGATATAATAGCAAAGTGAGTAAGGCCATCTGTTTCATATTTATTGTGAATTACTCTTTATTTGGAGATCATTTAGTAGTGGTTTTCTGTTATTTGTTTATAAAAAGTATTTAATCATAAACAGCGCATCTTAATTTCCTTTTCTGTTGCTGTGGTAGAACTCTCTTGGGAAAGCTGCAGAAGGGAGAAAGCTCATGATTCTAGACTATAATCTTTCATAGCAGAGAAGTCCCAGGAACTTGAAGCATCTGATCACATTATAGCCTCAGCCAAAAGAACAGAGAAATGAATGTGTATATGGTAATGTACAGCTCACTTTCTCCACTGTCACATAATCCAGGATTCACTGCCTTGGGAATTGTGCCACCCACAGTGGGCAGGTTTTCCCACCTCAATGTACACAATTAAAACAATCAATTCCCCAAAGACACATACAGAGGCCCATCCATCACCCAGGTAATTTTAGAATTTATCAGATTGACACTTACCACTAATCATCACATAGTGAAAAGAAGATACCACAAACTTAAAACAATTTACTATAATAAAATAACAGCACTGACTGTAGTTCTGTTGGTAGAGTGCTTGTCTACAAAGTTCTGGGTTCCATTTCCAACACTACATAAATCAGGCATGGTGGTGCATGCTTGTAATGCTCATCATAAGGAGGCAGAGGTAGAACAGGCAGGTCAAGGTCATACTCAGCTACATAGTGAACTTGAACCCAGTCTGTGTTATATGAGATCCTGTCTCAAACAACAACATAACCTTCAGGAATATATTTTCTCTTCTCAAAAGCAGTCATAGTTATTAAGTAGCATTGTTACCTCTATTTCTTGATTAAGAACTATTATCAAACCAGGTGCGGTGATGCACACCTATAAACCCAGCACTCAGGGAGGCAGAGGCAAAGGCAGATGGCTCTCTGTGCATTCAAGGCCAGCCTGGTCTACAAAGTGAGTCCAGACAGCCAAGGCTACACAAGGAAACCCTGTGCTGAAAACAAAACAAAACAAAAAACAAAAAATAAAGAATAAAAGAGATCCATAAACCCTTAGCTAAACAAAATATCTCTTTGGCCTGGGTCTATATGCTCTTAATGGGTAAAACATGGTAGCTCACAAACAACCCTTACTCCAGTTCCAGGGGATTTGACCTCCCTCTTACCCTCCATAGGCTCATGCCTGAATGTGGTACACAGATACATACTTAGACTCACACATATATGCATAAATTAAAATAAATATTAAAAAAAATTGGCCATGCCTGGTGGTGCAGGCCTTTAATCCCAGCACTCTAGGAAGCAGAGGTAGGCAGATGTCTGAGTTCATGGACAGCCTGATCTACAAAGTGAGTTCTAGGAAAGCCAGAGCTACACAGAGAAACCCTGTCTCAAAAAAACAAAAAACAACAAAAAATTGTATGTATCAATGGACAAAATGTAATGCTTTCACACACACACACACACACACACACACACACACACACACACTCATATTGTGTAATGAAATGTCTGTCACTTAATCACCTTTTGTGTTAAGAACATTCCACCACAGATTTAATTATTTTGGGGGAAGGTTAATTTGAGGGAGAATCTTCTCCATCTTAAAAAGTTTGCATACATGTTTTGTTCTTTCTAGATTATGGATACAATGTTACAATGTATTTCTCAATGCTTAAATGCAGAATAGAATGTAGTAAAACAATACAGAATTGAAGTTAATGTCTCAGACCAGGGCAGGACAAGAGGACAAGGTATCAGTGAGTACCACCTTCACAAAGAATCTTCGCATTCCACCTTAAAAAATCTAACTACGCAGAGGCAAGCCAGTTCCATCCAGACTGTTCCTAAGGAGGAGAGTGGGTTTTTCCCCCTCTTCTTCCACTCTTAGGACGTGCCTGATCTTCCTGAATAGTCCAGCACAAGCTAATCCACAAGGTTCAATCAGGCTAAGTAGTTGGGGGACTGTGTCAACTCTGAATTACAATGAGCAGCAGGGGAGGATCTGTCAGCTGACTAATCAAGGATAGTGGATTTTTTTTTTTTCAGCTCTGCCGCGGTGGTAATGGATGCAGCTTTAGCTTTGTTTGATAGGGATTTTTTGCTGTTGGTTTTAAATACCACGCAAGAAGCAGCTTGTATTTCATCAATGTTGCGTTGACAATCGGAAAAGAAGAGTGTAATTGTGTATAGGTGAGATGGCAGAAGCAAATCCCCCGAGAGGCAAGATCAGGTTCAGAAGGAATGCGGTAAGAGCTCTGTCTGCAGTCCTGGAAAGCCTATTCCCAAGTTCAAGTGCAGGGATGCTGCAGCACGGTGCTACAGCACAAACTGCTGAGTGAGGCTTTTCAGAAAAGATGGGGAGAATGGAGTCTTGTATTTTCGTGAACTGCCTTCATGTGCTTACTGTGGAACTGGCCTAGGGTAATTTAAGGAAACAGAGGTTGAATATCGCTTCAGAATCTAAGTGTTACCAAGTTTATCAGAGAGTAATGTTGGTCGTGTCATTTGTTTAAGGGTGTAATAGCAATTTGGAATTGTTTGCCTGCATAGCTTTAACTCACCAGCTAAAAGAATATTTAACAAAAGGATTTATGCTTTTTTTTTTTTTTTTTTGGACACTGGTCAAGTAGATATCTGGATGATATCTGGATGGGGTCTGGAGGTAATTTCATCAGCACTTAAAAAGGCAGTCCTGCTTAGCTGTCATTTTAAAAGTGGAAACATTTAAATATCTGTAATGACAGGAAATGTTTGTAGTTGCAATTATTTTAGAAATGTGCACGTTCAAGATGCAAAATTCTAGTCTGTTGACAACTGTTTTAACATACATTCCTGTATCTGTATCTGTGACCTGTTTTCTAACCTAGACTAAAATTTTCAAGTTTCTCTTTTAGTTACTTTCCAGAAACTTTCCTACCTACATTTTCCTCATTCATTCATTCATTCATTCATTCATTCATTCATTCATTCATTCATTCATATATTCATATTCTAAATTACTCAGGACATTTCTAACATGATCTTCCAACTTGTTTTAAAGAAACGTTGAAATAACCTCAGCTAATTTAATAACAAACTGGTTATGTTATGAGTCATTAGATGTCACTTTAAAAAAAACAACAACAACAAACTTCATGTTATTGGTGTGATAGCTTAAAATACAAACTTGCCTGCTCAACTATTGAGGTAACATGCACAAAATTAAAAAGTAAAAAAAAATTACTTATAGGAGAAAGCTCAATTAAATTAAAATTCAACTCAAGACAAGGAAAGTAAAGAAGTACATTGTTGCTGAGTGGCAGCGAATGCCAGTAGTTGAATGAATGACTTTCCTAATGAAGGTTTTAGGATAGAATGCTCCTTAAAAATTACACTTATCTTATACACTTATTTGATATCAAAATAAGTGTACAGATGATTTTATGTTATGAGAATAATATCTTCACACATTTAACAGACAATTACAACACATGTAAAATGTCTGTAAATGTGTTTTTGCAATATTGTGTGGAACTGACATTAGCAGTTTATTATCAAAGCTACCTTGACTTCACCTTTTGGAAAGTTCCTAATTCTTTTCTGTACATACATATTTTTCAATGCTGAACAGTCTTATGTATACAGAAATACAGCACACAGATGTCAATTGAACAGATGTAGCTTCACTGAGCTACCTATGACACCAGATTCAATAGTAAATGCATAATAGCTACTAGCTAAGGGTGCTCTCAGTATAGTAGAGAAGTAAAGTATACTTGTAAATATTTCAAAAGAACTTCAAGCTGGGAGTATGGAAGGCCTTCCATGGAAGATGGTATTTGTTTGCACCTTAAGTCACTATGTGTTTTTCTTACCTTTCCTTGATTTTTCCCATGAATTTTATTTCCATCAAATAAATTACTTTAATTGGACCCTCTTGGAACAGGTGGATTGATTCTGAAGCCTAGAGC